TACTTCATGTGCCTTTTTCACAGCACAGGGCTGTGTGCAGTTGTGTTGTTCAAGACAACGTGCCACGTTGAGCACTCTGGGGCCACTACATATGTAATCTTTCCATCAATGGGTTTTGCAAACCTTTTGTCAGTGTCAGTAAATAAAGCTCCACAATCCCAACTTCCCCAAAAGCAGCCTGTGAACTCATGTTCACATGCAGGATTCTGGCTCAGCTTCCCAAAATAATGGCATGTGTGAGCAGAGGGGAGGACTGTTCAGATGTTTGATGTGAGGCCGACTTGGCCTTCGCCTGCAGTAAAAATAAATCATAGCTGCTCTCAAACACGTGGAAGGAGCTGTACATAATTTAGGGGCTAATCTCACCTTGTCGATTTCCTGGCCCACAGCTCTTGAGTGGCACCAGCATGTGGCTTTTGGTCTTCCCGCAGACATTTACCATGAGAATGTTTCGCAGGGTGATGTCTTTAACATAGACTCAGTGTAACTTTGCAGTCCAACAGTGTGTTAATGAGTTGGTGCTGTCTGTGTATGTGCTTCTTTTCATCGTCCTTTTCTGTCACCTCACATGGAGTTCTTCGAAAAAACCACACGAAAACAAAAAGAAAAGGCAAAAGAAAGTGGGAATATATTTACTTTCAAATATTACTGTTTTTCTAGGGAGTTTCAGAAGATGTTCTTTAATGATTTTGAAAATGCCTGTAGAAAATTAATTCCCATGAGATGCACTTATGTGACAGGGAAGAGAAAAACAGCTGTGATAGAATCCTCCAATTGTATTAGGTTTGTGGGGGTTTGTGCTGCTTCTTTCAAGGCATGCCTAAATCTTCTTATTTACTATGTAAATACAACTTGCATCATCTTTCAGTAGAAGAATGATAAAAGGGATGCTGTAAGCAAAGGATATGGTTGCCTAATATGAAAAGGGCAAAACTACAGGGAGGGAGGAAACAGAGGGACCTCCAGGTTCTGTGCTTCTCACAGCCTTCCTGCCTCCTTCAGTGCTTCATTTGCCTTTGTGCAGCAGTAACGTGTGTAAATAATGGAGTCTGGACATGCTCAAGAGGGCACTGGCATTGCTGCTGTTGAGCTGCTGGGTTACTTGTACCTCACTTGGTCCAGCCCTTCTTTAGGTGCAGCGCAGGGGGAGCAGGCAGGGCCTCCTGGCTGCCAGTGCCCCATCCCATCTCCTTGAGCGTCAGGCTCAGGAATGCAGCACTCGCCAGAGAGTGAAATCATCGTGGTTTGCTTGGACCTTGAGCATGGAACTTGGAGTGGAGCCTCTCCTTCCAATTATGTGAGCAAGTGCTGGCTCGTAGCACACAGCCAGCAGGCTGAACCTTTGGATTGTGACCCCAGGGGGACAGCTTGATGGATGTCTCCTGTCATCCCTTACCCTGCCAAAGCCAGTGAGCCTCACCCAGGAAATCCTTTCAACAATTTCTGCTCGAGGGGCACCTAGTTATCTTCATTCATGGGACAGAAAGTGCATGATGTCTCTTATTAAGTATTATTGAGTACACCGGGTCATTGGTTGAAGACTTAGGTGCCAAAATTTAAGAAAAATGAGAGAAAATATAGCAAATAGCCTTTCTTGCAATCAAAGCTGCTTTTGTGATAGGAAAATACTAGTCAGAGTCATTTGGTAAAGCAGTCTCCTATGTCTGGGAGGACCAGGAAGAGGTGAGAGAGCATTTAACCACATTGTGGTTATATGGCATGTGGTGGATTTTCTTCATGGCAAATACAAAGTGCTGGTCACTTATCATGTCACTACTTCAGGAAGGGGGAACAGAGAGAAATTGGGGAAAAGACAGTCCATTATTTATGTGAGATTTTTTCTCTATGAGCAAATCCCTATCATGATTTTCCTTCCACCAAGCAAAAATGTGCCTCCACAAGCCTGAGTTCTGTGTGGAGGTTGGGAAATAAAAGAGGGAAAGGAAAAAAATTTCTGTTTTCTTGCTAGTGAAATGTGCCCTCTATAGAGAAAGGCTCCTCTGGGAGTTGCAATTGCTCCCCTGTGGATGCTGGAAATGTTTTGGGATTTGTTTTTTTTGTGACTGCAGCTTTAATCTGAATGATGGCAAAACTTAGTCTTCTGCTATTACTGCCAGCACTCTAGATAGAGCAGGGAAGAAAAAAGTGAAATATCACTTTGGGGTGTTTCTGGGGAAGAAATGTTTCCACAGCCATAAATTGCTTTCTTGGGAGCACTGAAAATTCCTATCCTAGTGCTGTGCTTCATGGAATCAAAGTCAGCAATCTTGGATCCGTAAGGAATAAAAACTGAGTCTTATCCAAAAACTTCAAGGTCTTGATATGGCAAAGCATGGTAAAAGCAAACAGTAAAATAAAATAATTAAGTTTATACATTCCTAGTTGTAGTAGTGTCGGTGTTTTTTAAAGGTGCTTGTCTTGGAGCAAAAATTGTCTTGTGAAACATTGTCTGAAGAATCCCTCTGCTGAAGCAGTGCTGCTTTCCCCCAAGTTAAAAATTCACATTTTATTGGCAGCCTGAGTTAATCTGGAGGTTTGATCTCTGGTCTGTGCTGTAGGATTCAGGTGCTTTTACACAGGTTGCGGTCTCTTCATGGTTTTGCTTGGATTTGAAAATCATTTATACTTAAATGATCCTGATCCCTTGTTCTTTTCCTCCTTACCAATTAACTTGGTTTTTGAAGCACATGGTTGTGTGAGCAAAATTGGCGAGTGGTGTTTCCTGGTGAAAAACTGGGTGGTGTTAGCATGGTGATCATGATTGCTGGAACTCATTACCAAATTGACTCTTTGAATAATCAAACCTTTGAACTCAGTTCAGTGGTATCCCATCCGTCTCCCTCCGTTAGGCAACTTGGAGGCAGCTCTTTCATGTCGTCTTACAACTTGTCCTATGTAAATGGTGGATGTGTTTATTTTCAAAAGCAGCAAGAAAGCCCAGTGGAACAAGAAAAAAGTTGGAAGAACAAGCCCTCAAAGAGATTTTGACACTGGTGCCAGGGGGTTTATGAAAGATAAAACAGCTCATTTTTTTTATGGCTGAAGGAAAATGCCATTAAATCCCTTGTGCCTATCTGCTACAGTAAAGTTGCCAGAGCTATTCAAAAAACAGCATGCCATGAGATATTCAATGATTTTCAATGAAAACTAGGCTTAAAAAATGCAGATCTCCTGTGTGTGGATCAAGGGGAGCTCCAGGGTGCTCAGTATATGTTTCTATATGCTCACACATGACTGTAAGAGTTATTTTAAACAGGGTTTGCTAGCTTTGACTTTGAAACTGCATCCACTATATCTACTCAGTTCCTTTGTGCGTGGCATAGGTAATTTTGCAGAAGGAAAATAACTTGTTATTGTAAGAGTAAATGGGAAAAATTTTACAGGTTGCTATCTACCAGGCTAATCTATATTATGAAGAAATAAAACATACTTGCATTGTCCTGCTGCAGTAAAAGTGTAATATTTGCTGAAGTTCTCTACAAATTTTAGTCCTCCCTGTAACCTCAGGGGGAAATCATTGCTTGGTGACCTAGTGTAGCTTTGAGCAGAAACTGGAAGAAATTGAAAGAAAATGTCCTGCAGAAAAATGCAGGATCTGCATGTTTTTTGCATTGTATTTTTCAGAGTTCATTTAAACTCAGGGTTCATGGTGAACGGGAGGTGGCAGGAGAAGGCTGGAAAATCTGATCACTGAGTGTTGGAGACCTGTTTTCAGATTAGTGTCCTGGTGCTGAGGTGAATTATTGTAGTCCATTTCCTGTTGCTGGACATGGAGCAGCAGTGACTAATGGCTTTTTGGATGCTGGGAGAGGTGGGATGGTAGTGAGGTGTTACAACATGGAAATTAGAGTGAGAATAGATCAAAACAAGCCTTTTTATACTGCTTTTTTACCTGCATTTCACAGTCAGCCCCAACATTTTCTCAGGCAGGGATTGAGGGGGCAGTTGTGAATATCTGACATTGAACTGGAGTAAAAGTTATATGCTGAGAGAAGCTGCAGGGTGCTTATCTTTGAGAGAGGTAAAGGAGATGGGAGAAGCAAGCTTTTCCACAAGCTGTGTGTGACATGGCATGACGGGGTGATGGGGGAGCAGCTGGGGGCAGCCTGCTTCAGTTTCCCCACCTGATATTTCAGGCCAAGCCATAGACAGATCCCTGTGAAACTCCACTTTGTTCTAGCCCCTTGGTCTAAATAAGAGGTTAAATAAGGTAATTGTGAGGTGGGCATCCCTCAGTATTCCCCACACACTCAGTACCTGGTGCAGCTATTGCAGGATGGACAGTGGGTTAATGCACTTCTAAAGCATGTTCCCCACCTCTTGCTGCTTGACTGCTCATTGCAGGTTTTCAATGAATCAGCCCACTGAGCATTATATCTTGAGGATCTGGCTGGGCTGGCATGCTTTTTGGCTTGTGTCATGTGGCCTCCAGATCATGGGGCTGGGCGTTGCTCTTGGGATGGTGCAGCAAAGCACAAACCTCAGAGAAAATTGATGGCTTGCTCCAGAGTGCAGCCTTGTGTTCATCCCTCTGTGCACTTTGGATTTTGGGAATGGATTTGTGGTTTGGTTTTGGGTTTTGTTGGTTTTTGTTTCTTTTTTTATTACACCATGGAAAACGTTTTTCTGTCCAAACCAGCTGGGTCTTCAGCAACACTTAACAAGTAAAAGCACTTCTCTGCTAGGTGTTCCCTAAAATATGGGAAATGAGATTTTTATATTAAAATGCCAGGAAGAAAAATGGTGAGGGCATAAAGTGCTGCTTTATTTTCATCTGATGCTAGTGCTTTTGGAAAATCAGTTGTGCTCCAGTGATCATTACCCCCCTGTGTGCTTCTCTCACTGTTTGCTCCAGCTTCTGTCTGAACAGAAAGCCTTTCTTTAGTCGCAGCTCCAGTTACACCCTGCAGGGCCCTGGAATCATCAGAGGGGACATCCTCAGGACCTAGGCTTGAGTCCTGTTCCCTTCCTCTTTGTAACCAGCCCTGCCTTGGTTTCAGGAGTGTCAACATCGGGGGCTCTGGGCCCGGGGAGCACCCCTGCCAGCACCACGCCGCGGGTGGCCACCAGCACCACGGGCCGCAGCACCACCACGTCAGCCTCGGGCAGGAGGAACAGGAGCACCAGCACGCCGTCCCCCATGGCCGACGTCCCCGAGGAAATGACCACGCACCTGCCGCCCGCCTCCTCCCAGCTGCCGCCGGCCGGGGCCGAGAGCTGCGACCCCACAGAAGCACGCGACATTATGTGGTCCCGGACTCGGCAGGGCCAGCTGGCGAAGCAGCCATGTCCCTTGGGCTCCATAGGTGAGTCAAGGGGTGGCTTCACTTCCTATTACACCTTGTCGGTGTGCAGCCAGTACTAAAAAGCTTTTGTGAATGTGCTGGAAGAGCCTCTGCTTCCAGCAGTTGTGTACGACGCGCCTTACCTGGTTTTGCCTGTATTTGTAGCCCCTGGGCTCACTGACTGATGTGCTGGTGGCTAATTCTTTGCTTGTTTTGGGAAGAGAGGGGGCAGGGGAGGAAATCAACAAAACTTGTACTTTGAAGATCCTGAACCAGTGTGAGTGATTTTTTTTAAACTGCAGCCAGCATCCAGTATGATCAGCTGGGAAAGTGGGGGGAGAACAAAGCCAAATCTTTCAAAGTGGTTTATTGCTTATTGGATTTTGCTCCTTTTCTTCTGCTCTTCCCACAATTGTTTTCTTGAAAAATGTTGCTTTTGGAAATTTTCTGTTCAATTTGAAACATAATCGCATTAAGAATGGGTTTTGGCATACGGTTCAGTTTGCTGTGTTTTAACAAATGCAGTTTTCTAAAAATAATTATTTTTCATGCTAGTCTTGGTGTCCAGCCCCAAAAGTTCTCTTTCAAAGAAGAAATCTTAAAAGTGGAGGAAATTGCCTGAAAATGAGGGCTGAAGGGATCTGGATTGCAGAGCAGAGACTCTGTGTTTATTCTCCACTCCTGGAGAGCCATTCACACCTATGTATATGAGTACTGACTCAGTCTGGAATTTGGTGAGGACAGACTGATAAAATATATGTTAAAGTATGAGGAGTATGGAAAGGCATCAGGGGTGAGACTAGGTAAAGAACATTTTTGCTGTCTTTTCCAGCCCTGCTTGGTAAAATTAATGCAAAAAGTATGATTCCCAGAGAGGGGAAAGGATAGTCTGAACCAAAGTTGTAAAAAGGAAAATAAGATGGAAAATGAAGACTGGATGCAGGGAGTCCTTTCCTAAGCACAAGTGCTAAGGACATGATGAAAATAACTAAGGAAAAGATAATAGCCCAACTTATGGATAGGGGATGGCCAATGAGCCTTTCCCATCTCCAATTTCAGTGATTCACACTACTTGTTAAAAGCTGTGATACATTAGCAGTGATGCACTTCTCTTTGTCTGAAAGGGTCTAAGGCATTTTGCTGTCTTTTCCAGCAGGGATTGGGCAGCTCTTCCCTAACAAAACTCTCCTCTAAAGTCCCTCTTGACAGCGGGGGGCTGACAGTAAGCCCCAGCATTATATCTTGGCGTTTGTAGAGTTCAAACTTTTGTGTGTTTCCACCCAAATGTTGATGATTCAGAGCCATAAAATCTTCACAGAGCAGCAAGGAAGATGAAGCACAGGGTCTGATCCCAAATCACCAGTGGTGGGGCAGAGCACTCAAGGTGCTGGCTCAGTGTTTGAGATCTACTTCTCATTTCTTAGTAGCTGGCAGCTTTCCTGCAAGTCCTCTGTCTGTAATTACTGTTTGCCAAATTGGAAATAATATTCCTGCACAACATCGTAGGTCTTTTGTGTCTTAGGGCCCTTAAAGGACCAAGATGATGGAAGACTAGGACACTGAGATGACTCAGAAGTGTGCTACTCAAGACCAGAGCACTAATAAGCTCCCAGAAGCCTTTGACACAGGGTGCTAGGGGGAAAATGCAACCAGTTGCACTGAACACAGCAACTTTCCCATTACAGGTGTTGCAACTTTCCGGTGTCTCGCACCTGACGGTATCTGGGAACCCCAAGGACCTGATCTTAGCAACTGCTCTTCACCCTGGATCAACCACATCACTCAAAAGGTAAAACCCATGTGTTGACCACTCTGAGTCTGCACAGTGAGCTTGTTCAGCTCCCTGGTTTTCTTACACAAGGAACCAAAAAGGATCAACAGTCCACATAAAGCATGAACTATGTGTAGTAGCCAAGAATTTCAAGGAGAAAGTAAGTGTCTCATGGAAATTAAAGCAGAGAGGGTAAGGGAAGGCAAAGGAGAAGGACTGAAGAGTGGAATTAAACTAGAGTGAATGACATTTCTTGTTCGTGGCAAGAAGAGGGAGGAGGAGGTGGGTGGACATATGGAAAGTACTGAGTTGTTGAAAAAGGAAACGCCCTTTCATGCGTCCTCAAGGATTTTTTCATGTCACGCAAGCACAGGATAAACCCCATAGTTAAGAAATCTTTACCAAAGAAAGGCAGGCTCAATGTGAAATGTTTGGTTTGTGCCTCTGACTTTCTGTTTTTAACTTCTGCCCAAATTATAAAAGAACTGGTGGAATAGAAAACAATGCTGCAGTAATGCTTATCTTTTGACTCTTAAGTCCCATGATGAATGTTTTCTAGCACTTCATCATTTATCAGTGTTAAAAGTGCATTAACATGTGACAATAGAAGTTCAAGACAAGCAGAGCTTATTTGGTAGCAATATGTTGAGCATTTTTGTTATTAATGCACAGTGGTGCTTTCAGCTGATTTCATTACAAACAGAGACCAGATGTGTGTTTATGCCACAGAGTCTGTGGGCTGAATCTTTATGATAGCAATTTGTGGGGATTTATTCACTCCTTTAGTCAGAGTGAGCAAGTCCTGGTGTTGCAAGTGAGCTGTGCTGCTGCACAATAGTGACACAGAACTCTGGTCAGTGGGATGGGATCACCCAAACGACAAGACTCTTGAACATTCTTCTCTCTGCCCCCCATCTAAACTGAGACCTAATAATCTGTGAATTGCTAGCACCGGTCATCCCTGTCTTGCTTCGTCTGTGCTTGCACTCAGCCCTCCACAAAAGAAAAACATCAATTAATGTGGGGCTGCTGTGATATGGCACAGCCACTACAAAGCCCATGGTCCTTCTGTCCCTCTCCTGCCGTACACCCAGTGAGCTGAGGAACACAGGCTGCCTTTGCTGGCATTAGCAGCTGTGTGCAGCTCTTGTTTATGACCTACGTGCTTACCCTGGAGGGGTTAACATTACTTACTCCAGCCATAATTCACCCAGGCAGCTGGGAGACCTCTTGCTGCTTGGTGAAGATGACTAGGCCGTTAGCCATTAGCAGAGGGAAATAATAGCCTGCACTGATGAAATCTCCATCAAGGTTAGGCTTATTTTATTTGAAACCCTAGCTATCATTTGCGTAACAAATGGGCCCCATTTAATTTGTTACGTGCTTTCAAAGCAGGCTAAAATTGAACAGGCAAGTTTTCAGAAATGCCCAGCAGGTTACAACTGGGACTAGATTTTTTTTTTTTTTTTAAGGAATTTAATTATGTTCAGCATTGAATACCTTCTACCAGTTGGTAGAAACGACTTGGTGAATCTATGAGATGACCCTGGATCTAAGTTTTTTGCGTGAGTGGGAATTCATTGGGATCTTGAGATATGTGACCCAACCTCAATGACAGCTGTTACAAAACATCAAGACTTTTCAGGAGTGACTTTTGCAGGGAAAGCCTTGCAAGGCTTGCTTAGGGGTTTGTGTTGGGGGTTGCAGTCATTGAAACATTTATATTGGAAAATACTTCTGAGATCATTAGGTCCAACTATTCACCCAGCACATGCCACTAATCCATGTCCCTAAGTGCCATGTCTGTCGCCCTGATTTTATAAGACTTTGTTAAGCCTTCTGATGTTTGCATTCTTTCAACAAACTTTCTCACACACAGTTCTGTAAATAACCTATGTTTTGCATTCTTTCATGGAGGTGGAGAGAATTGATGGACCCTTGGTCTGTCCAGTGGCATTGGAGAGGTGGCACTGTCACCCTCCAATCCACTGTCACCTTTGGAAAACTATAAATGTTGAAGTCAGAAAATAAAGTTCTTCTTCTTCTTCCTTTTTGTTCCCCTCGAGAGCAGCAGTGTCTGTGTCATCATTTCGTGCCGTATCACAACAATGTCTACACGTGTTTTAAATCCCTCCAGGAATAGTGACTCAACCACTTCCCTGGGCAGTCTGTTCCAATGCTGATCACTTTCTGTGAAGAAACTTTTCTTAACATCCAATATAAACCTTTCCTGGTGCAACCTCAAGTGGTTTCTTCTTGTCCTGTCATTTCTTACGAAGAGTAGACTAACACTCACCTTGCTGCACCTTGTTTCAAATAGTTGTAAAGAGGGATAAGGTTCCCCTGAGCCTCCTTTTCTCTGGGCTAAACAGCCTCAGCTGCCTGAGCAGCTCCTCAGAAGCCTTGTGCTCCACACCTTTCCCCAGCTCTGTTGCCCTTCTCTGGACTTTCTCCAGCACATTAATGTCCTGCTTGTAGTGAGAGGCCCAGAAGTGGACACAGCACTCTGGGTGTGGCCTCACCAGTGCCTGGTACAGGGGGACAATCACTGCCCTGGACCTGCTGGCCACTCTGTTTCTGAAACAGGCCAGGATGCCATTGGCCTTCTTGGCCACCTGGGCACACATCTGGCTCTCCTTTTCTGCTGGGCAGCTTTCCAGTTACCCTTCCCCAGCCTGTAGCGCTACATGGCATTGTTGTGACCCAAGGGCAGGACCTGCACTTGACCTTATTGAACCTCATACCATTGGCCTTGACCTATTGATCCAGCCTGTCCAGATCCTGCACATGCCACGTGAGGGCTCTTAGCATGATCTGCTCCATGAGATTGCATCATATTTTTCAACTTCCAGTGCACTAGGACACCCCCAGTTAGCCAGGACTGCTGATAAATGATGGGAAGTGGCTCCGTAAGTTCTTCTGCCAGTTCCCTCAGTACTCTTTGGTGGACCTCATCCAGCCCCATAGACCTGTGGATGTGTAAATGGTGTATCAGGTCACTGACCGTTTTTTTTCCTGGATTATGGGGGTTGTCATCTGCTCCCCATCACTGTCTTCCAGCTCTGGGTGCTGGGTATCCTGAGGACAACCTGGGTACCATGGTCTTTCTGTTAAAGACTGAGCCAAAGAAGGCATTAACTACCACCTCAACTGTTTCCTCATTCTTTGTCATTATATTTCCCTCATATCCATTTTTTATTGTCTTTTATGGCAGCAGACAGGCAAAGTTCTAGTTGACTTCAGCCCTGCTAATTTTCTTCCTGTATAACCTCACAACATGCTTGTAGTCCTCCTTTGTTACCCGTCCTTTCTCCAGAGGCCATAAGCTCTCCTTATTTTTTTTTCTTATTCTAGCCAAAGCTCTCTGTTCAGCCAGGTCAGTCTTATTCCCCACCAGCTTATCTTTTTCCACATGGGTATGTCCTGCCTTTAAGATCCAGTAGGATCCTTACACTAAATACAGTTTTAAATTACATATGAAATAACCATTTGGTTTCCCTGCCCAAGCAAGAGGCTTGAAAATCATCACTGCACTTAAAGATGGAGAACTGAATCATCCATAAATCAAGCACTGGTTTCTAACATCCCTGCTGCGAATGGGATGCTTCCCAAAGCTTGCAGATTTGCTCCGATGCCTCTCTGAAGATGAAAAAAGAGCCTTCTGCCTCTAAGTCAAGCCAGCTTCTCTTCCTTCTGCTGTGGGGACAGCTAGAGGGAGCAGTAAGCCAGCTGTGCTGTGAGGACAGGGCTGGTTACACCCTGCAGCTCAGCTCCCCTGCATCCCCAGCTCTCCTGGTCACTCAGCCCACTGCAGCTGCAGCACAGCTGACAAAACGGGTAAAAATACTTCTTTGTCAGCCAGGGCTCATACCTGCTCAGCGTGTCTTCATTCCTAGTCTGCTTTGTCTCCCAAAAATCTGACATCTGCAGGATGCTCAGGAAGAATGGTGATGGGTCCCCTGGAGGGATTTCAGCCAAGCCAGAAAGGATGGTAGGGAAATGCTGTGCTTGCTTTCAAATCTGTGTAGTGAAGTAAGAATGATTACTTACTTCTTCTCTTTCTCCTGCTGTGCTCAGACTGTAGATTGGGTGTTTGCCTGCTTGCATCATGGTATTAGGTTTTACAGCCGTTTCCTAGCTTCCATTAGAGTTATTGTGCTTGATGGAAGATCAGAACAAATGTTCTCCTCAGCAATTCATTGGCCTCCTGACATTTACTTTAACTTTATTGTTGGTGCCTACCATGCCCTCGTAACGGAGCGGGAGAATGAACTTGCCAGTGCGATTGAATTATGCACTGCTACCTGGGTTATTTCTAGAGTCAAGCAGTAACAGGAAGCAAAAAGGTCAGCTTTGGATACATTGCATCATCCTGATCATGAGGTCACACGTTCAGTCTCAGCCTGTTTGTTTTGCCTCTTGCTTTCATCAGTGCCATCCTTAGCGCAGCATGTGACTTGCTTGAAGGCGTCTCTCCCTTGCTGCAGCTTTCAGCTGTGAGTGCTGCCTGGGAGGACAGGCACTGCCATGCTCAGCTTCAAACCTCTGGAAGAGAGGAGGCCTCTTTTGTAGCAGAACAGAAATTTTGCCCTTCACAAATGCACAGAAAGCCTCAGTCTCTAAATCTAAAGCCTCAGTCTCTAAATCTAAAGCACGTGCCACCCATGCCCTCCTGAGTGGCCTGACTGCTCCCAAAGAGCAGGTGAACCTTAGGATTCGTAGCACCTCCCTGAGGTCTTGTAGATCTGCTTGGATGTGTGTTACAGGGAGAGTGAGATTTTCTGGGGGACATCCCCACATCGTTGTGTCCAAGTCTGAGGGTGCAGTTGCAGTCCTGATGACAGCACAATGAAATCCGTCATCCACGTTGCTTTTGGCAGTCTGCTTTCAGAGCACCGTCATCAATTGGATGGAGCAGATGCCACAGAGGGTGGCTTATTAAAGGGTCATTAAATGCAGTTTGAGTTGGTTGAGTACCATAGTTTCAAAGCCACTTTTTCAGTGTTCTCTGGGTCTGCTGTACTCTGCATGGAGAGCATTGTCTCTTCTCCCAGGCAGCTGGCAAAAGGACAAGAGGATGCAAGCTATGCCAGGGGAGGTTTAAGTTTTTGCATCGGGCGGCATTTCTGCGTAGAAAGGGTGATTGGGCATTGGATTGGGCTGCCCAGGGAGGTGGTGGAATCACTGTGTCTGGCGATGTTTAAGGAAAGGCTGAATGTGGTACTCAATGCCATGGTCTAGCTGACATTTTGGTGTTTGGTCATAGGTTGGACTTGGTAATTTTAGAGGTTTTTTTCCAACCTAAATGATTCTGTTATTCAGAAATAAAAAAGGAAAGGATGGTAGATATGCTCTGACTCTTTTCTGTGAATGCACACATGTATATTGAAATTCCTGCCAGGGAAGGAAAAATGCCATGAAAGCTTTGCAGTGTCAGAAGTTAGACCACAGCCCCTCTTACAGGCTTGCTATCTGACTGCTGGGAGCTAATGGTGCCTGGTGAAACCTGTCAGATGTTTGTTCCTCCAGAAAACAGCATCAACTTTGTGGTCTTTCCAGCTGACCAGTCCATCTGTATGTTACTGTTTTTAAAAACCCTAGTTCAGTCTTTGATGCCATCTTTTTATTTTTATATCAGTTTGCCTCTTCAGAAGGCTGCAGGAAAATACTTTTGCCTTTATGACTACTGGTGTTTTAGTTCATTTGCTCACATATCAGCATATTTCTTATTTCTTCTGAATTTTCCTTCCTAAATATTTATCTTTTTGCAATTTCTTTCATTTTTATTCTACTGTCCTGTTCTGCATCAGAGTTTCTTCTGAGAAAGGTAGGGCTGAAACAGCAAGCACTGCGGCAAGAAAGTCTTTGTCTTTCCAGACAAAACTCCCTGCTTCTGTTTGTTGGCATATATGAAACAGGCAGGAGAATATGTCCTCTCCAAAGACTATTATTTCACACTCCTTTCCCTCATAAAAAGGTGCAAGATAGTGGCACAAACTTGGAAAATGCTAGCAGAGTGTTACACAGAGGGATTTCAGGTGTGCCAGTGATCATTTGTGAATCTGGCCTGAATCCTGTCTTCCCAAATGGAGGAGGGGAGCAATTTTTTTGGCAGACCTATAAAACTGTGTTTTGTATGTTGTATTTTGGCATTATTGGCAAGAAACATGCTTTCACTCCTTTAAATTAGCATTCCGAGACTGGTTTTAATCTGTTTATAAAAGGTAAGAAAAAATAGGCCAAAAAACCACAGAAAACAAAAAATCTGGTTTCAAATTTGGTTTGAACAGGTTTTCTTTTATCCCAGAATCCTATTTAGATTTTAAATTTAATTTTTTCCTAATCAGGGTGGAAAATATTAAAAAGTAGCATCATATCAGGGAGAGATGTATTATTTTTAATTCCCTTTATTGTTCTCAAGCCTCACAGTAGAAGGGTTGGATACTTACGCATTTTTTCCCTGCTTCTTCCTTGCCTCAGAATATCGGCTTGAGACATGGAGAGCCTCCAGGGGTTGTTCCTGTATTCATCTGTAACTATGTCAGTGTTTGGGTTAAAGAGTATTACATGTTTTGGAAGAAATAACATAAAGAGCTCATCTTTCATGCAGCAATAAGGAAGAGAAAGAAGTGGAGAAGTAATTTATAGAAAGGAAGTAAGTTAGTAATGCATCCTCTTGGGTAGCAGTAAGCTTTGCTGAGCATTACATAGAATTGACCCAAAAAAAGAAGAAAAGGATTCAGTCCTGTTGTTACAAGAGACCAGATTTTAGCCATGGAATATTCAGCCAGCATGTGGGACTCATAAGAGAAGTTGGGTTTGACAACACTGCATAGGAGACACTTCAATTTCAGCTGAAAAAACTCAAAAGAACTGGGGAAATCAGGATTAATGTGTCACACAGCCATCATTCCAGACATCCCTCTCATGCCAGAGTGGAAAGAGTGTCTTAGCACTGCTGTAGTGACTTGTAGCTGCACGTTCTGTGTGACCATGTGTAGGTGTGGAATTGTCAGCCCTAGGATGTAGTTTCATTACCTGCCAGCCAAAAATATTTTCCCAGAAGAATGGCCCATATGTGTTTTCAGGAAACCTGGGTGTGTAAGATAACTTTGGATAAATATTTCTGTGTCCCAGGAGTTCACAGACTCTGAGCTTTAGTTTGCCTTTTTCTCGGGCGTTTCTTCCATTGCTGCCTATTTTTTATGTTGCTTATTTGGCCACAGTATAATTCCTCAGATTTACAGTTTTTAGGGTCAGTCCAAGAGAAAAGGAAAAGGGTTAATTAGTGACCAGCCTTTATCACTTTTGCAGACAGATAGGAGCAGCAGCAGCCTGCAGGGAAAGAAAACTCTTGTGTTTGCCTTTATAGCAGCTGAGCTGCTTTTCTCTGAGTGTGCCAGTTTGCATAGGTCCAAGGGAAAATGTGAACATCAAATATTGGGTAGTTTTTGGTTTTACTGTGGTGTATCTGTAAAAAATATCTTGAATTCCCTCAGTTTTCTGCAGAGCTTACACAAACACAATGTGTCATGATACATGCTAAGCTTCAGCAATGAACTGCAGGAAAATGTTGAAATTGATTTCTTTATGTAAAGGGATTTGATGCAGTCATTCTTTGAAGTTCTGAGAACCAACAGCAGAGGTCAAAATTCAGCCTCTGTGCTGATGTGTGCCTTCCTTCAGCTGCTTAGGAGAGCAGGCAGCTGTAAGACTAGGATCTGGTTTCTATGGCATTAGTCTTCTGTGTAACAAGAAAGAAATAATTCAGTTTTTGAATATATCTTATCATTGCTCTAATGGGAAGAACAACACATTATCTCCTTTATTTATCTTCTCTGTATCATCATATGCGTTAATTCCCTGAAGACGAGTATATGAACATCTTGAGTTAGATTTCATTAAATCAGATTGGCTTTTGCTGTCAAATTGATGGAAGTAAGTTATTCATTTATAACTCAGCTAATTGATTTACAGAGAGGTAGAAGCTCAGCCTGTAATCTTTCCTTTTGCTTTTATAATAAGCACCCGAAAGTGAGGGAACAAGAGAAACATCTGATTTCTAGCTGTTGGTAGATAAGACAATTGAAAATTCATATGAAAAGCACAGCAGAGTTTTCCATTGAGTCTGACAGAGAAGTGGGAACTTCATTTATGTGTCATCCTGTATAATTTCTCCTTGTCCCAGGCATATTCCACATGGATTTGCATTCCAGATCACAGACTGGTAGATAATGAGTAGAAGACCAGAAACCTGCAGTGGTATTTTTGTAGTGGGCTGCTCATGGAAAGGAGATGTGGCAAGCTGCCCTGTCCCAAATCCTCATGGCACAGAAGAGGAAGGGGGTACCAGATAGGGTGAGCAAAGCAGAACAAGAAAGGGGAAGAAGCACAGAGAAAAAGTGAGAGTTTTCCAAATAATTACACAGTGAATTTCCCTGCAGGTTATTTGTGAGTTTTGTGGCTCAACTAGATGATACAAGTCTTTCAGTAGAAGATTCAGCCAACCCTCATGCTGGCTTTTCCCTTCTAGTGGATCTCTGCTTGAGCCTTTTGCTCTAGAGTTAGGATGCTTTTACATGTGCTGAGAGTCACTAGCCTCATTTTCAGTGGCTAGTGTGGCAAGTGATGCTAAGTGATAAATTAGCTCCTGATTATTAAATCAATAAGATGGAAATAGTGAACTTTTTGCTCTGCTTTCTCTGGGTTACTTCATCTATTGTTGATCCTTTTACAAGGAACTCCTCTGTGTGGAAGCTGTAACAAAAATCATCTCATAAAATTCTGGAATCAGAAACTGTTTTTTCTTGATAGGAGAGGCTATTTACATTGTTTTTTTTCAAGTGGCACAGTAAGCCAATGAGACAAGCTAATTAAAGCCTTCCTTAGCATGGAGAACCCATGGAAAACAGTGCCCAGTGAGAAGAAATTGTTGAAGCCACTCTGGTTGACTGGAAAAACCATACTCAAAAAACTATTCATGGTCAAACTACAAAGACTCTTGTTGTAGTTGACTTTTTGGGCAATTCTTCTATTCCTTCTTCCTTCTCCTCCTTCTCTTTTTTTCTTCTTTTTGAGGGGAGTTGAGCTGGTTAACGATGTGGGGCTGGAAGGCACTGGAGTGACATGTCACTGGCAGCTGGGGACAACCTTTCCCTCTGCTTTCTGCCCCGCAGATGAGGTCGGGGGAGATGGCTGCCAACATCGCGCGGGAGCTGGCGGAGCACACCAGGAACCACCTGTACGCCGGGGACATCGCCTACTCCGTGTCCGCCATGGTCCAGCTTGTCAACCTGCTGGACGTGCAGCTCCGCAACCTGACTCCCGGCGGGAAGGACAGCGCCGCGCGCAGCTTGAATAAGGTGGGAACGACGGGGACTTTTCAGTCATAGCCTGTCATTTAGCCCCAGAAGCACCTTAACTGCATTGCAACAGTGTGGTTTCTGTGCCCACGGTTTAAGAAGAGTTATTAGTCCTTTTGTCATTTCCAGAAGTAAGTGGAATTGCTACATAGTGCTAAAGGTGCCAGGAGTTTCCAGTTGTGGGCGGAAACATGAGCTGTGGACTCTGTAAGGACACATTTAAAGCTGAAGGTTTCCTTAGTGGAAGGCCCTCTTCATCATGAATCTCATGTAAACACATGGGATAGGATTTACCTAGGATTATGACAGTGAATTGTGTGGGCCTGGTTGTCAGGACAAAGATCAGCTGCACCCCAGTGTCTATGAGCACATGGTTATATTGGCCACCCAGTTAAAAGAAGACACAGAATTTTGTTCTCAGCTGCATATCAGACTCTGACAGTTCTGGCTTTCATGTAAGCATGAACAGAACTTGGTCCCAAGATTATATGAGGAATAAGTAATCCCAGCTAAACCTAAAATTTCTTAGGTGTTTTATGAAGAAAAAATGCTTTTCAGAGATGTAATGTGGTCTTTTTTCTTGTAAGTTGTTATCGTAGACTGATGCTGTTTTAAATGCAAAGGGCTTCAGGATTGTTTGAGATTTCAGTTGCATGGGAGCTGAACTCCTGCATCTCATGTGCTTTGCATGTTCTGTGAATTGGTTTATCCTGATGCTTTTAATTAGCACTGCTTCCAGCCATTTTATAACAACATAGGTGATAATTGTATTAACTGTTACATCAGCATAACATTATTTGTTATAATCGTACCCTGGTTCTTTGTTGAAATGATGGTGATGTCTGACAATATTAGGTAAAGCCAGCAATTAATGTCACTTACTAACGGGTTTCATGGTTGTAGTCTGCTTGTTCTTCTGGGCGCATCCCAGCCACACCCAACATTTTGTCAATTCAGCTTTGCAACCACATATTTTTCATCTTTGTTTTTATCTCACCTTAGGATATTTGTTTCGGTCACATGACATGGGGCTGTATCATGGGGACAGGAATGAGTTACTGAGGGGAGGGGAAGGCTGGCCAAGGCAGAGCTCCTCGGCTCAGCTGTCACTTCTGGGGTCCCCACTGCAGGTTTCTTCCCCCTGCCATCAGCATTGCACAAGCAAGACATACAAATCAATTGCATTCCACATTAAAATTCTGGACCACGTGAAGTCCTGCAAAACAGCGATGCGACTCAGTGATCCAAATGACAGGCTCAGTAATTTACTTGCTCTCATTCCCCACTTAATTCTTTAGAAGAGCAACTGCTCTGTGTTCATTTAAGAATGCATGAATTCAACTTGGAAGTAGTATTGGGCAAACAAAAGGCAGCAGAGTTACTGCTCCATTTTCCCCTTCACTGATCAAGAGTATTTAAAAAAAAAATAGGAAAAAAGTAATTTGCAAAGAATTTTGTTTAGTGCTGTTTAGTCAGAAAGAAGAAATAAAGTAAGCACTAGCTATTAAATATCCTTTTAATCATTAAAGGAAATGTGCTGGGGATCTGAAAGTAATCACCTGTGCTCTTTTGTGCTGGTGGGTTTTTTACAAGCTGATGTACAACGAATTGAAATAAACTGGCATAATCAGAATTTTTAAAAGCCGTCATCTTTCAGGAACCACTTTTCTGTCACTAAAAGCTTTATGCTTTCCACTGGATCAGGCTTAATTAAGGGGATAATTGTTCCATTTCAGACTGGGAAGACCCCCGAGTGGATAGCTCTGTAATTTTCAGCAAGGCTTTCTTTGATCTCCATTTGTTTCTGTAAAGTTTTCATACTGGCCAGATTTACCCAGAGGAAGATTTCTAATGTTCCGAATTGATGAATTAGAAATTGAAATTAGGCATTGCATGATACCTGGGTGTATTTTGTTTATTTCAGAGCCTCAAAACTCTCGAGGACAAATTTGGCTCTCAGCTGCGCTAATGGGATGGCACTGCTGTGTGTTGAGAGCACAAGTTGTCCTGAATCTCTGTTGATGTGCAATTTCCAACCAGGCACATCAGCAAAAAACAAACCCAGCCAAGCCAGTGGCTCTGAACAGCCTGGTTTTCTGAGCTTTCATTGCAGTGATGCAGATCTCACCAATTCCAGCTCACTGCTGCAGAATGCCTGCCAAGCCCCAGGTCTGTCAGGATGGGTCTGTACAGGTCCAGGCTGTATCAGGATGCAGTCCTGCACAAGTCTTGCTCCCTGGGGTTGGTCCTGCTCTTCTGAAGTTTGGTTATATTTCACTGTGGCATCAGCACTGTCTGACTGCAGAGCCCACGCTCCTCTTATGCAAATAATCATCAGCCCCATCCTTTTCAACCTTGTTTGACATGGAAATGTCACGTGTGATCTCCAAGCTGTAAGGGAAACATCATGTCTTGAGTATCTCTACTAGACTTCAGAGTCTTCTACCATCTAACAGTTGCTCTTGCAAAGTTGTCAGTCTGTGCTGCACTTTACTGAAAAAGGACTAACCCACATTTCTGGAGCCAGTCCTTCCAGTTTTCCACTGCTGACTAACTCACGCTCATTCCTTTAGTTTGGTTGGTTTTTCAGGAGCTGTTTAAGAGAGAAATGAGGGGTTTTTCACGGGCAGTTTCTTCTTTTTTTTTTCCCTTGTTCTGTCACTAACTTGTTTTTTCTATTCCGTCTTTAATCTGCTCTCTTTATGGACTCAGCTTCAGAAAAGGGAGCGCTCTTGCAGGGCCTATGTCCAGGTATTTTTTGTGTTTTTAATACACGTGTCCAGTTGTTTGACTGAATGACTGTGAAGTGGGTCTTGTCTCTGTGAATAATCTGATTATTACCACCTTTGTGGCAGCAAGTTCTAAGGTTAAGGTTACAGGATAATAATGTAATTTTTTACCTCACCGACCTGTCCCATTGCTCTCAGACTTGACAAAAATTTGGGACAAAATCTCTGAACCAGAAAGTGGAAAAAAACAAAAGAGAGATCTGACAAGTTTCATCTGGCCATCTGAATGAGCAGGACAGTACGGAGATGCGCAAGTAAAGAATGCAAAACTGCTGCTCACAGAGATGTCTCCAGACCAGCTGTATTTTGCTTACAGCATGTAATTCATGCTACTGCCACCTGCATTTCCTTAGTTTTCCTTCTTCTCCTGTTGCACTTCTAAATTCAGAAAAGTTCAAAGTGGCAGCACTCAGCATGAGGGAGGAGGTGGGATTGGAATGAAATGCAGAGTGTCTCGCAGAGAGATGTTGGAAGGAGGAGAGTTCTGCAAACAATGCATAGGGTGATGAACATAACATCCCATGAAGTTCACCCAGGTCTGGCCTGACTTTCATAGGCTTATGTTGTGTTTGATGTGAACAAAGTCAAGCCCCAGCATTCTGGAAAGATCACAATTGTGGGCTTTTCAGGAGAGGGACCTTGGGATATCTTATTAATCCTGTCACCTTGCCTTATAGCATTTGCTCCATTAGTTTTTTATATAAATCTGTTTGTATACTGTAGGTCAGTTAATGCTGCTCTAAGAAATGTGAATGTTTTACTTTCTAATCTCTGTCTTGTGCTTGTGAATGTTGATATTGTTCTTTTGGGTGGTCGATCATAATTTGTATGCATATGTGAAATGTGCATAAATGAATTTCTGTCTCTGGAGAGGGCTGACTATACCTGCGTTTTCTTGCAAAATTTCAGTTCCTACAGTATGTACTGACTTTATTTTGTGAGCACACATTTCATTTAGCAAATGGGATTAGATGGTGTGGATTTCTAGGTTGTTAGAAATAAAACAGTACCCCTCTGTGCTGGTAGGCTGTCTACCCTTTGGAAAATGTCACGAGATAAAGTCACATGTTCCCTTCCATATACATTACTGGATAAAGATGAGTTATGGAGTTACATATCCCTTGCCTGGAATCCCAGAGAAAGCAACTAGTAGGCATTTGAAGGAATTTAGGAAAGTTTACAGTGCAGTGCTCACTCCCAAGCTAGCTACCTTGTGTACTGGTACCACTGGAAACGTGGTGGGACTGCTTTAACTCAGGGCTGCAGAGTCCTATTGGGGACATTGGGTGCTGCCTGATCCATAGCTGTCCTTTCCCTTGGCTGCACAAGCATTCTCCACAGATCCAATGCACGCTCCTGCTCTTCTGTCTTTTTTCAAACAGTAGTGATTTGGTGAGTTTAATACAGAAAGCTTGGCCTTGATAGAATAAAGCCTGAATACTCTGCAAAAACTTCAGCTTACCATTAATTTCAAGGACTCCTTTCTTTTCACTTGGAAAGGTTGCTTGCATGTTTAAGTATTAATCACGCATCTACTTCTTCAGTAGATAAAAACTGATGAAAGCTCATTTCTTGAGCTGTTAAGTATGGGTATGGACAGATCTGGTATATGTATTGAAGAGGACAGTCCTGTAAAAGAGGGCTTGAAGAATGAATTAGGTTACCTAATTGAACCTTTCCAGCTCTGCTTTGTACTGTATGGGGGTAAAGTAACGTATCTCGACATATTTTCATTCAGTATGCTTCCATTTGGAAAATTGTGTGGCTAAAGTCATCAAAAAATCTAGTGAGGGAGAGGTTGTCTGTAATGGCAATTAGATGTGATTGCAGATAGTTCTGTTATAGGCTACTCATCCTTTACCAGGAAATGTCTAGGCTGGCTGAGGGAATTTAGCAGAGATTTTTCAACAAATCTTAAGTGGTGGCCCCCTGGGCTTTGTAAAGTCAATGGAACATGGGAAGTCACTGGGATATGTGGCGTTGATGGCAGAGAAACAGTGTTCAACTTTGCTGACATGATCTCCTCATGCTGATCCCATTATTGTCAAGAACATCTCTGGCTGAATTTGGCTCAGAGGGCTGGAAGCATACCTTCAATTCTGTGCTCCCTAGACAAAGGAAGGTGCAGTATGATGTTTATGCTAGAGATGTCCAGGAACTATGAATATCAAAGTGCCATTGAGGAAAGGTGCTTTTTTTGGAAGGAGGAGGGTGACCTGAGAAGATAATAATTGCTAAAATCAGTCTTATTGTTTTCTTTAGGCTAACCAATTTAAGTAGCCAGGACAGAGTCCCTGTAGCAATTGGTGTGTAAAGTCCTCTTAAGCCCAAAATAAATTACTATAAATAAATATGCAAAGTGGATGGAGAAATTTTGCAAGTTATTCAAACATAAAACTGGGAATGCATTATCAGATTATCACCTCATCTCTTTGGGTACCTTTAAAACAAACATGGATTTAATTTGTTCACTTTCACAGTATTTGTTGAATTAAAAGCTCAGGGATTTTATTGACTGGAGATAGAGGTTACAAATGCTGCTTCTTTAGTTTCACATGTGGTAAATGATGGGGTTTTTTTTCTCAAAAATCCAGCAAGAACCAACCCGGCAGGTGGCATGATGAATACATATTAATACAAAGACTGGACAGTTGCTGGAAGATTTTTCAGTCATGGTGATAGCTAAGAAACTGCTAAGTGGCTTTTAATTTGTGATACTAATTAATAGTCAGTTGAGACTGAGCTGACCAAGCTGTATAAAAAGGTGGCAGAGTGGCCTCAGCAAGGTGCTCCGTTGGCAAAGAAGGTGGCCTTCTAGAGAGCAGAGATCTACATCTCCTCTGCCCACCTTTCTGAAGTTCTTGCACTCTATTTTGGGAAGGGGATGGAAAAGTCATCATGTGGGAGAATGCGTCACAATGGGTTATGCATTTGATTAGCATAGCTTGGTTTGGTGGCTGTGATATAAGCTGGTATGAATTTTCTTCAGTTTTTTCAGTATTTGTGTTTGTTCATTTTCCAAAAGTTGTTGTCCTTAAACTGAAGCACTGGAGTTGTAGAAAACAGAAATCATTTGCCTTTTGGGGATTGTGAAACTGGGTTTGGTGTCATAGATTTCTTCCATGTGCCCCTCAGCAAGTGTCATGTGCTCGGTATTTCTCAGCTTCCCAACATAAAATGCCATGGATGCAGTTCTCCTGTCCTCTAGGAAAAGAGGTAGGGTAGTAAAAGGAAAAAAGAAAAGAAAAAAAAGGGCTAAGTGCTCACATAATGTAGTAAGTGAGGCTGTATTAAAACAGAAAACTTAAACATGGGGAAAAACTTAGAGAATTTTGCTGATTTAGTAGCTGGAAACACAGGTTTTATTAAAGGCTCATACCATACCCGCGCTTGCAGTCTCTTTATCATGTTCATGCATCTGATTGCAAAGTCTGAGCTCACCTGCTTGCTTCACTTGGATTTGTGAGCTGCAGCTCTGGGGCATCAGGAGGCCAGTGAATTTCCCTTCAGTGCCAAACCAGAAGCCTCTTCCCATGTGAAATTGCATGCTGCTTTTGGGATGAGGATCTTGGAAGACAAAAACTTCAAAGGGTTCCCATTCTTTTGGTTTATTTTATAAAGTCAGTATGAATGGTTTTAGAGCCAGAGGCTGGTGAATACAACAAATAGTGTGAATGGCAGCTTTGTGGAAAGGGTGGAAGGAGACAGCAGAGGGCTGCTTTTGCAGCATCTTCCTCATCAAATGGAGTTTGCTGCTCTTTGTTCGTGCCATCCTCTGAGCTGTCCTGTAAGTCAGCTTGCCTTCTTTTGTAGCTCTGCACTGGTCTGGATAGCAAATGGCAAAGATGATGGAGGTGCCACCTGCCCCTTGATAATTACAAGAGCTTCTGGGTGCAGGTGTCACCAGAGCCACACATGAAGCCGGCTCTGAGAGGATGGCAGGCTCCTGGTGGCAGACAGTGGCAGGAGACTGCAAAGTTGTCGTTCTGGTTCTCCTGTAAATTTCTGAACATTTCTTATTTGAAACATGGGCTGTTTGAATTGCTGCAGTAAGCAAAAATTGAAAGGCTTTCCTCAGAGGATTCAAGGCATTTAGACCTGAGCAGAAGAGACTTTTTTTTTTCATTGCTAACCTAGTAGTTCTCATCAGATAAAAGGTGCACGTGGGACTTAGCCAGTACTATTTAAAGGGATTAATTCTGTTTGTCCTACTTCTCTCTTGCTTGCATGATTGGTTGCAGCTTCCATGAAGACTAAACGAAAGAAACTTGCAGCTCTGAGAAGGAGCACAAATTGAATTATGCCGTGTTTGCTTGTGTTCTTGTTGCCCCTGTGACAAGACTCTAACCTCCATTTATATAAAAGAAGAGGCAAATTAATGAAGGTTTTCAAGTTCCTTGTTTGGTCACTTAATTGGCTGTATGACAAAGAGCTCTGCAGTGTGTGTCAAACAACTCTGAGAGTTCTCTGATGATTTGTGCATTGCTTGACTCCTGATGCTATTCTGCACAGCCTGTCAGGCGAGGTATCGTTGTTAAAGTGGCTGGAATAAATTGGCTAGCAGTGAGCATACAATGTTGTATATTAACTATAGCTACAGGGAGTACTTTTAGCTACTTTTTCAAGAGATCAAGATATTTGCCCATCAGCATCAAAGTGCCTAAAACTTTCATTTAATATAATTAAAAGGACATCTGAAAGAAGTGTGACTCGCAGTGAGGTTCAGTGGTTTGGTAGTCCTTTGTTAAAACTCTGTGAACTTAATATACTTCACAGCTTGAGAAACCCGCACTTGATTTGTGTCAGCAAGAGTGAAACTAGAAATCCTCACCCTGCATGTTTCTGCTGCAGTGAGCCTGTTGTTAAGGGAGAGGAGGATCAAAGCAGCAGCCTTGGGTTTGTGACCAGACTCCAAAATTTCTCGCATAAATGTTAAAAAGGAAGGTGGCCCCATGTGCATCC